ATTTGCGCAAGATCATGCCAATGTAGATGTAGCCACAGTGTATAGGTATAGAGGGAGGATTGCTGAATAAAGAATTTTGTGGCCATGGAGACTGATGTGTGGAGGGATGGTTGCTATGAAAAGAGTTCTGCATGTGTTGACAGTGAGGCCTCTGATTGTGTTTTCTCGGCATCTTGATAAAACATTTCAGCATCTTGTTTTGGTCTTCCTTGAACTTTAGCATGCACTCAGTGTTTTGTGTTCTTGCTTTAATCTCCAAAGGTTTTCTTTGCTCCCTTTTCTCTGTTTGAAGAGTTGAGTGACACAATACATGCTTGACCAGATCTTCCCTCATCTTGCATGATTTTTTCCTTAGTTGATGGAGTCTGTCTGCTGGTGATGTTTGCTGGTGAACTTCTCAAGGTCTGGTGTGGAAAAGGAACCATTAACAAATTCAGTGACTGTACTATTCATGATAAAGATTGTAGCATTTCGCTAGCATGCATGTGTCTGAATAAAACTTGCCACTTTTGTTGTTACTCTAACGTCAAAGACATCTTTCCAGACCCTTTGTTCATGGTGAGCTTTAAAGGGGCTGGTTAAGGGTAGGGGTGGAGTATTGGGCATGTGTTCCTAAGAAAGTACAGTGTAGACTTGTGCAGCAATTGCACATGGAAACAATTTGTAATAATTCTACACTTGTCCACAGAGTGGGTATGTCTACACTACAAAGTTAATTCGAACTAACGGATGTTAGTTCGAATTAACTTTGATAGGCGCTACACAGGCGCTCCGCTAGTTCGAACTTAATTCGAACTAGCGGAGCGCTTAGTTCGAACTAGGTAAACCTCATTGTACGAGGACTAAGCCTAGTTCGAACTTACTAGTTCGAATTAGCGCTGTAGTGTAGACATACCCTTGGTGACAAATAATAGACCCTAACTTTGACATCATTCCTCTTTTCCTCCCCTTATGTTCACACAGAAATTTCTGCTGGTCTGTCTCACTTCCTTCTGGACTTCGGTTGTATTCTTGATGTATAATGCAACACCTCTTTACCCTGCGTGTCTTCCTGCGCACGCTATAAGAACGTAAGAATGGCCATATTGGGTCAGAACAAAGGCCCATCTAGCCCAGTGTCCTGTCTGCCAACAGTGGCCATTACCAGATACCCAAGAGGGAGGGATCACAACAGGTAATCCTCATGTCACCCATTTCCAGACTAACAGCAGCTAGGGACACCATTCCTACCCATCCTGGCTAATAGCCATTGATGGACCTAACCTCCATGAATCTAGCCAGCTCTTTTGGAACCCTGTTAAAATCCTAGTCTTCACCACGTCCTCTGGGCAAGGAGTTCCACAGGTTGACTCCTATGCCTCTCTGTAGTAATATTCTAGTTTTTCGACTTCTCCTACTGAGTCTCTGATGTCACCAAATAGGTCATAAGTTACTTTATTCACTAATACTTCCAGTTTTTCTTTTCCATGCTCCTTGCATTTGTGTAAAGAAGTTGAGCAGATTGCCTCCACTGACTCTACTCTTGTTCCTTCTGTGACCCTCTTTCAATTTTCCATGCCCCACCAATGCCAACATCTGACCCTCTGCTAAGGTTGCCTGTGTCTGAACATCTGTTACCAGTCCTTTTGAACATAGTTTAAAGCCCTCCTCACTAGGTTGTTGAGTAGGGGCGTGAAGATACTTTTCCTCTCCTTGGTTAGGTGGAGCCCATCTTTTCCTAGCAGACCTTCTTCCTGGAACAGCATCCCAGAATTGAGGAAGATGAAGCCCTTCCAATCATGCTGCCGGCACAGCTCTGCATTTGGAATGGCCAGGATGTGTCTGTAGCTGCCTGAGCCCTTATACTCCACTGGGAGGGTGGGTGAGAATTCGCTCTGCACCCCTGACCCTTCACCCTTGCTTCTAGCGCTCAGTAGTCACTGCTAATGCGCTCAGGGTCCAACCTGGAAGTGTCATTAGTGCCCACGTGGATAAGCAGCAAGGGGGCAGCAATGCGCCTTCGAATTCTTTCGACAGTGTCTTGGTAGCACACCCCTCAGGCCATCAGCTTGTTCCTCAGGCTCCTGAGCTGTACCAAGATAAACACCTTTACAATGATACATTCTCCTCTTGGCTATCATACCATTATAGCTATATTGATTAAAAACAACCACACCCACCCATAACCTATTTCATTGTCTCAGTACAAAAGTACTGGAAGTAGCAAAGCTGTGCGCCAGGAACTAAGCACACTCAATTTCCACTGTGCCCAGCAAGCTCTGGCAGTAGTAATCTCTAGCTCTTCTATTGCACTTTTTCATCCATAGATCTCAAAAAGTGCTCAAAGGTCAGTCGTTGCTCATGGTCTTTTATAATTGGAACCTTTAGCATTTTCATAATGGCCGCCTCTGACGTCACACGATAGGGAAGTTCAAGGCCTCACCTTTACATTGAAGCATGTGCTACCCAAATGACTCCAAACCTTTTGAAATAAAATGGTTTTCAATGCTTTTCACCTCCTGGCTGAAGCCATTTATTAGCGCTGACTGTGTTTTATTATTGTGGGAGGAATATGTGAACCCCGAGCGCAGGACTCTATACTTGTCCTTGTTGAACCTCATCAGGTTTCTTGTGGCCCAATCCTCTAATCTGTCCAGGTCACTTTGGACCCTATCCCTGCCCCCCAATGTATCTACCTCTCCCCCTAGCTTAGTGTCATCTGTGAACTTGCTGAGGGTACAATCCATTCCCTCGTCCAGGTCATTAATAAAGATATTGAACAAAATCGGTCCTAGAACAGATCCTTGGGCACTCTGCTAGAAACCAACCGCCAACCTGATATTAAGCCGTTGATCACTACCTATTGGGCCTGACAGTCTAGCCAGCTTTCTATCCATCTTAAAGTCCATTTATCCAATCCATAGTCCCTTAACTTACTGGCAAGAATATTGTGGGAGGCCATATCAGAAGCTTTGCTAAAGTCACATCCACTGACTTTCCCATATCCACAGAGCCAGTTACCTCATCTTAGAAGCTAATCAGATTGGTCAGGCATGACTTGCCCTTTATGAATCCATGTTGAACAATTCCTTGCTGCTTAATGCTCTGGTTGTCACCGGATGAACCCTAAGCCCTTTGTCTACTTCTATTTCTTCATCAATAATTTCTGTCTCTGAAACAAGTGTTTCTGACTCTTTGCTATCAGACATATTCACACTCTGCTTGGTTGTGGACATGAGGTCCCCACCCAGGATTGTGTCCAGTTCTTTATAAAAAGGTATGTTGCTATTGCAGACCAGACTGGCTGTTTGCCTCCTTTGCTTTCTGGTGCACATGCTTAAGTTTCTTTATCTTGGCTCTGCATTTTAGGGTATCTTGCTCATACTCCTTTAATATAGGGCTTAAGAAATGTGACTGTATGTGTCCTAGTTCCTATGGGTTACTCGCAGCTGAGATTACACTGATTCTTCTCCCTATACACTGATAAGATTCATAAGCTCTTCATTGCGTCAAGTAGGAGAGCATTTTGAGTAATATTCACCCCTGATTCCCTGAGAATTCATCATAAAGACCACCACACAACAAACCAGACACCAGGAAATGGATTTTTAAAGTTACCAGGGATCGCAGGTGGGAGGGGAGCATCTGTTTACCTTTTTATGTGGCTGCAGAGCAGCAGAGTTCAAAGCGCTGATCAGAGTGGCTTATCGGGCATTGCGGGAAACATGCTGGAGGCGAATAAAGGTGACTAAAACCCTATTGTACACACTGCATGATTGGTGACAATAAAGGGGGGGAGTCTATGCAGAGGTGGAAGCTTTCTGTCGCTAAAACTGGGTGTTTGCTGCAATTTTTGTCATGTCGCAATGTGGATGCTCTCTGGGTTTTGTCACCAAAAAGGATTTTTTGGCGACAAAACTTGCAAGTGTAGACAAGGCCTGTGTTTCACAGGGGATGCAGTGAGGCTTAATTAAAATGTGTTACAATCACCCAGGGAACCAAACGTGTATTACTGCCATTTTCAAGGCACATGAAGCTGTTACCATTCCTATGCATTGTGTACAAATAAGCCAGCCTTCTCCTGTTTCTTTAGCTTCACCTGCCATTATTGACCTGGACCTTTTGCCCTTTTTAACTTAATTTTTGCAGGGGAAGCGGGAAGGGGCAAGCACTTGCTTTAGAAGTACAAGATACGGTATGGCCTCTAGGTGGTGCAAGTTCTCTGTATAAAATATCATTAATCAACCAGAAAATAACTTGAGGATGCTGAAAGAGTAGGACCCTCAAGGGGTCCAGAGAGAATGAGGTGGAGTGTTTTATCCCTGCAGGCAGTTTTGAAAAACCTATCCTATATGAACTGTCCTGTGAAGCTTAATAAAAATCGGACCTGATCCCCTCACTCATCTTCTAGGCAAATAGTGATAGAAATGTAGCCGTGTTAGTCTGGTGTAGCTGAAACAAAAAACAGGACTATGTAGCACTTTAAAGACTAACAAGATGGTTTATTAGGTGATGAGCTTTCGTGGGCCAGACCCACTTCCTCAGATCAAATAGTGGAAGAAAATTGTCACAACCATATATACCAAAGGATACAATTTAAAAAAGGCCAGATCTGAGGAAGTGGGTCTGGCCCACGAAAGCTCATCACCTAATAAACCATCTTGTTAGTCTTTAAAGTGCTACATAGTCCTGTTTTTTGTTTCCTCTAGGCAAAGTGGATTTGAAATTAGAACAATCATCTTTCCACATCTGTTTTGCTACACAAAGCCCTAATGTGATCTATCTAAATCTGTTTTTACTGAAACAAATTAACACAGTTACCACTCTGAAACTTATCTGTATTTTAATTTTTTTCATATTGGTTAAGACAAGTCATATTGTCATCTTTATGGAATTCAGATGAATCTCATGCTAACAAGTGAACTATGAATCAGGGGATCATCTTTTTGTTCTCTGTTCATTCAGCATCATCCAAATGATAAATAACAATAATAAATTGATCCTCTGAATGTTTTTTTTAGAGAAACTTTGGAAACATCCCTACCTGCAGAGAATTTGGTTCTGGGGAGTGATGACCCAAAAGGAAGAGTCTTTGCTGTGGACCTAAAGGAGTCTATGGCCAAACCAAAGAAATGCAATAAACTTCCTTTGAACAAGAAGAGAAAGGAAATGTGTAAGTCTTTTGTGTGTAAAAATATATCCTGAAGTAGTATTTAAGTGCGTTACAAATCTTTATGCTAGCCTACTGCAATGGAGTGCATCCTCCTCCCCTCCCCCATGAAATCAAGGATGTGTAGGAGTTTTTAAGTCTGACAGAAGTTTGCTCCAGTATTTGTCACTCAACAGTAGACCGTGACTTTGTCACAACAGTCTTTGCTCCCACCACCTCCATCTGTGTTTTTTTAAGTCTTGTGTTTTCTTTTTGTCTGTAGCAGATGAGAGCACGGAAGCGAACAAAGAAAGGCGTAAGTGTCACCGGAAAGGAGAGCCAAAGAAAATAGTTCAAGGCTACACCCTGATCACTGACCAAGAGGAAACGGAGGAAGGAGGAGGAAGTGCTTTCAGTGAGCTCAGTCCTGTTTCTGAAAGTTTAACACCGAGTTAGAGAGAGCCAAGAGAGAAACCTGGGTGTAAATTGAATAAACATGGAGACTTCCAGCACTTGATTGGCTCTGGGGCTAGCCCCATGCCTTTCAAAATAATGGGGAGGTTTTGTTTATACTCAGGAAAATTAATCTGGATTAATTAAAGGTGTGAATTTAAACAGAGTTGTTTAGGAATGCTCTCATTCAGAATAAAAATGGCCTTCATTTGGTTTATTTTCATAATCAATTGATCTCAAAGCATATCATACTTTTTAATATGTTTATCATCCCAGCTGCTGCATGGGGTCGGTTATCCCCATAGTATAGATTGGAAACTGAGTCAGGGAGTGGTGTCTTCCCTAAGGCCCCATAGAGAGCTTCTGGCACTACAGGAAACTGACAGGTTTGGCAAGCTCTATGCTAGTGGATTCATAGATTCCAAGGGAGGCCTGGGCAAAATGGGTCAGATCTGATCCACCAAGCCATGGGATCCAGCCCGCGGCGGCAGTGGGGAACCCCAGACAGGCTCCATTGCTTTCCCTGCAGCCCCACATGATATGGCTGCTGATCTCTGTTTCTGTTTCAGAACTGGAGGGAATGGGGGGAAAGCTTCAGGAGCTGCCCCTGCCTCATCACAATCCCATTGGCTGATTTCTAGACAGCAACTAGCCAAAGGGAGCTGCCTGTTTGACTAACAGGCAGCCAAGAAGAACCACACCCACTCTCCTTGGCTCAGTTATTCACACAAGCACATGGCTGGGCAGGCAGGCTGGCTGTCTGGGAAACATTTTAAGCTCTGCAAGCCTTAGCTCTGCAGGCAAGCAGGCTAGTTTGGCTGCTGGCTGGTAAATCTCCTGGCCAGAGCCTGCCTCTGGCATCCCACCAACCTTCTGCCCCCTCAATCAACATACACAAACCCTCTACCCCCCACTTGCACCCATTCCTCCTCCCAAATTTGGCACCCCAATCTGCTGCCCCAGATCACAATCTCCTATCCTAGGTCACATCCCACTTTGCACCCCAATTTGCTGCCCCAGATCACAATCTCCTATCCTAGGTCACATCCCAAACCCCTGTACTCCAGTTCCCTGCGCTAGGTTGTATCCACCTCCTTCACTCAAACTCCCTCCCAGATGCCATTCTCCCTTCTGCACCCCAGTCCTTTACCCCAAGCTCCTTCTGTACCCTACCTGCATCCCAGAACCTGCATCTCCTCCATTAATATCATGGAAAAGTATGGCCCTCCACCACTTTCCAAAATTTTGGAGTGCCTCCCCCCTCATTAAAAATTATTGCCCACCCCTGTTCCAAGGTCAAAAGGGACTTGTGATCAATTAGTCTAACATAACAAAGTCCAGCATAACAAAGGCCATAGGACTGCCCCACAATAATTCTTTTTAAGCGAGATTCTATCTTTAAAAATACTCTATAACTACTGCTATATCCTTCTCCTTTTATTGACAGGCAACTTTTATCTAAATGAGTGTGTCTAAATGAGTGTGCTTCTTTCAGTGCAGCTCATCCAATGTAGTTGTATCAGATTAGTGACACCTGTAAATTATCCTGACCTGTGTAGACAAACCCTCAAAAATTGCAAGTTTAGATTAACAAGGATTTCGTGTTCAGTATCTTTGTCTTCTGGAGCCTCTAGGTTGTGCAAGGTGCCTGCTGATGTGTGTTTTTGTTGATGTTCTGTAGATCAGTGTGTGGCATGGGTCCAATGTTCTTATCCCAGCTGTGAGAAATGGCGGCGTCTTAGTAGTGATGTCGATCCCTCAGTTCTTCCCGAAGACTGGACATGCAGCCAAAACACCGGTAAACAGTGTAGCAGCCTTCTTTGACCTTGCGGTCGCTAGGGATGTTAGTGTATAGTTGTTTAAACAATTAGCGGATAAGCCTGGGCTTATTAGTTAATCCTAACAACTACATGCATGTCCCTCCCTTGCCTGCTGCCTCTGTATCAGAGGCAGCAAGAGGTGGGGAGACAGGAGCCAACTCCCCATGAGCACCAGATCCTGTGGAGCCACCTGCCCCCCCGATCTCCATGCTGCTGCCTCTGATAGAGAGGCAGCAGCATAGCAGGTGAGAGGAACAGGAGGGAGCCAGTATACAAGGTAAGCCAGTTTTCAAGATGGCTTCTCTTGTATTGTTGCTTTCCGTAGAAGTGAGGGGAGGCAGGTGGGAGCCAACGCTCAGGGGAAGCCAGCTTAAAAGAGCTTAAGAGCTGTATCAGAGGCAGCAGCACGGGGTGGAGAAGGCTGGATGCCAAAGCAGCCTCTGTCCGCAGGGAGCTTGGGCCCCCCCATTTTAATAATATATAACCGCTAAAAATTATTGCAGCTATACAATTACTAAAATAAACAATATCCAACATCCCGACTGGGGACCATTTTTTGCTCCAGAAAGTGAAGGTAGTAAACATTTTAAAACTTGAGGGACGGAGGAATTGGTTGTGAATTGGAAAGTGAAAAGCAATGTGGATGATTATTAAATTACACAGTATCTAATATCCCTATAAGTTAGGCCTGGGCAAAATACGGCCTTCAGGCTGGATCTGGCCCACCAAGCCACCGGATCTGGCCTGTGGAGGCAGCAGGGAGCACCAGGCAGGCTGCTTTGCTTGCCCTGCAGCCCTGTGAGCCGTGCAGAAACTCAGCTGCAGGGCTCTGTTTCTGTTGTAAAACTGGAGGGGAGGGAGGAAGATTTAGGAGTACCCCGCCCCCAGTACATTCCCATTGGCCAGTTTCTGCAGAAACCTGCCAATGGGAGCTGCTTGTTGGAGTAACAGGCAGCCAAGAAGAACCACGTCCCCTGTCCCCTCTTTACTGCTGAGTTATTCATGAAGCGCATGGCCAGGCAAGCAGGCTGGCTGACTGGCTGGGAAACATTTTAAGCTCTTCAGGCAGGCAGGCTAGTTTGCAGCTGACAAGTAAGAATCTTGGCCACAGCCTGCTTCTGGCACCCCAGCCCTTTTCTGCCTCCCCTCAATCAATATATACAAACCCTCTGCCCCCTGCTTGCACCCATGCCTCCTCCCATATTTGGCACCCCAATCTCCTGCCCCAGATCACAATCCCCTCCTATCCTAGGTCACATCCCAAACCCCTGCACTCTAGTCCCCTGCCCTAGGTCATATCCACCTCTTTCACCCAAACTCCCTCCCAAACTGTGTTCTCCCTCCTGCACCCCAGTCCTTTACCCCAAGCTCCCTTCTGCACCCAACCTGCATCTCCTCCATTAATATCATAGAACAGCCCTCGACCCCTTTCCAAAATCTTGGAGTAGACCCCCATCAAAAATTATTTCCCACCCCTGCTATAGGTCACCAGCTCAAATTGAGCCCAAACTACTGGTGATCATTTGTCTGGCTATTAAGGAGGAGAGCAGAAACAAATTTTGTGGGATTAGCATAATTTCTAAAGCACAAGTGTCGTCACAAAAATCCTCTACAGTAGGCCTCCTGAGAAAGCAGCTTATGCAGACCATTCAGCGCCTATTTAGTTACACAAACAAGGGCCAGGTTTTCAGCCAGCAGAGGTGTTTAGGGCTGGATTTGCCATAAAAGCTCTACTTCCCATTCTCCTGAGATCTTTGGAAGCCCTGCCCATTTATTTTGGAACTAAATGAGTTTTGAGCTCTTTTGAAAACCCAGTCCTGGTTGCAAATGCTAGGAAATCTTGAAATTTATTCTGGTTGGCACTTATTGACTCCAGTGAAGTCAGTGATGCTGATTTACACTAGGGCTGTGTCTACACTACAAGGTTTTTGCGCAAAAACTGGCAGAGCATCCACACCTCAAGCACGTTTTTGCGCGCGCGCGCGCGCACACACACACACACAAATACAGTAAATAGACAGGATAGCGGGCTTTTGCCAATAGTTATTCCTCTCCCCACGAGCCCTTGTGCAAAAAGGCATGTGTGGAAGCTCTGCAGGGGTTTCTTGAGCAAAAAGACCTATCAGAAAAAGCACAGGTGCTCTGATGGCCATTCTGTTAGTGACAATTAGAACTTTCTTGCGCAAGAGCGTCCATGCAGTGTGGACTCTCTCTTGCACAAAAGCACATTGCACAGGCTTTTGCAATGTGCTTTTGAGGTGTGGATGTGCTTTTGCACAAGAAGTTTTTGCGGAAGATCTCTTCCACAAAAAGCTTCTTACACAAAAACCCTGTGGTGTAGACAAAGCCTAGATGAGGATAAATAGATCCATTGATTTTTTTAGGGCCTATTCTGAGCACCTAATCTGCTCTCCTGTGTAGCATAGGCTGGAGAATTATGCCAAGGATTCCTGCATAACTTCTGTTTGAGCTATAGCAGGTCTTTGAGAAAGACATCCAGTCTTCATTTAAAGCCCTGAGTGGTAGAAAAGCCACTACATCCCTACTACATAAGTTATTCCAATACTAAATTCTCCTCTCTGTCCAAAAACTCACCTTTTTTCTAGTCTGAATTTGTCTAGCACAGGGGTGGTCTGCGGGCCAGAGCTGGTTCCCCAAGGTTAGCCCCTGGTGGGTCATCTACACAGTATTTCCCCAGTATTACAGTATGTTCATAGCTCCCATTGACAGTGGATCACTGTTCTTGGCCAGTGGGAGCTGTGGGAAGTGGTGTCCTGGTCCACATCACTTCCTGCAGTTCCCATTGACAGGGAACAGTGATCTGGGCTCTGCAAGTGGCTGTACTGGTGGATGTGCAGGTAAGTACAGTGCTGAAGACCCACCAAGGGATAAGCCTGGTGAACTGTATCTGGCCTGTAGGCTGCTTATTGCCCACCCCGGCCTAGCATCAGCTCTCTATCCTCTGAACCTCGCTGCCTTTGTGTGCTAGATTAATAATTTGTCTAGTATCAGAAACCGTTTCCCCATGCAGGTACTTGTAGTGTCTGATGAAGTCACCCCTTAAGCTGCTCCTTGACCTAAACAGACTGAGTTGTTATAGTCTTTCACTGTGAGGCAGGTTTCATTTTGACAATGTTGAATGCTTTGTTTTTGCATTACCATTTTTACTATTGCTAGAACACTTACTTGGTGTTTCTCAGGTCTTTCAGGGTAGGGGGCTGGTGATGTGGGGACTGTGGGAGTCAGGGCATGGCCTTGGGGATGTAGAGGCTCAGGGCAGGAGGCTGGGGAGGTGGGGGTGTGTGAGAATGAGGGTTGGGGGATGAGGAGGGGTTCAGGGCAGGAGGCCAGGGCTTTGTGGGGTGCAGGAGTCAGGGTGAGGGGTTGATGAATGGCTCAGGGCAGAGGGTGAAAGTGCAGGAATCAGGGCAGTGGGTTAGGAGGAGGAGAGCTCAGGGGGTGGCTACTGGCTTCTCTCCAGAAGCAGCCCAGGGCGGTGGGGACCCATCTGTCACATCCCACCTAGTCCCTGGGGTGAAGGTAAGGGCTGCACATCCTGCCTCTGGCTACTCCCGGGGTAGGCCCAGGATAGGGGTGGGACACGCACCCTGCCCCCAGGCTTCTCCTGGGGCCAGCCTGGGGAACCCCCAGTGCAGGGGGGGGGGGCCAGGGGCTTTCTCTCTCCCCCATCTCCCAGTCCCAGTGCAGCTTTCTCCCTCCCTTTTCCTCACCCCCGGTCCAACATTCCTCCCTCCTGGGCCCTCGTCCAGTAGGGTTTTCTCCCCCCACAACCCAATGCTGTGGCCAAGGGTAGGGGTCGGGTTTGGGGCAGGATGGCCACTTACCCTGTCCAGTGGCTAACAGTGTGGTGAGCCCAAGTCACTCTCTCGGTGGTGTGGCTGCTCGCAGTGATCACGCTGCATTATAGCTCTCCCCTGTGTTCACTGCCCCTAGTGGTCATTCTTCAGTTTCGCTGTTTTCCAATCAGCTCCCTTTTTCTTCATGTTTTGGAAAACAATCCCATTCCAGGCAGTTCCTGTTTTCCTGGCACAATCAAACCCTGACTTGGCTTTAAGTTAGGATAAGAGGAAGCTGCAAACCTAATTTGGTGGTCCTAACATTGTTTAGGAGGAACTCTTGAACAAATGGACTCACAGACAGCCACCCACCTAGATGCACATTTCTAAAATATATAAATAGATATGAATCAAAACAATAAAGTTGAAACAAAACCATATGATGAGGTTGAAATAAAATATTTTGGAATATTTCATTTCACAATAAACTCTATTTCTGTTTTTCACCCCCATTTGAGATTTACAAAATCTCAGAATTTCTCACTCAGCTGTGGCTGTTGTTGTTGTTTGTGTATTGCAGACTTGCAGTACAAGAGCTGCGATGCACCCGAGGAGATGTGGTCGGGATCTGAAAACGATGTAGTGTATGCTACCTATGTGCCTGGGTCAATCATATGGGCCAAACAGTTTGGCTACCCATGGTAGGTGTCCATAATGCTGGAAAAATGGTAAGCTGGTCAACTATGAACAGAGCTTTTAAAAATGGACAGCACAGTATACATGTAAAACATAGAGTGCGAGCTAGCCAGAGTGCTGGATTTGCACTGTAGAGACGTGATATCTATTTCTGGTTCTACCATTTGTCTGCCAAGTGACCAAGTTATTTTACCACTCCATGTCAGTTTCCCCACAAAACTTGTATGTTTAGACCTGGGTGGGCAATAATTTTTGATGGGGGGGGGCCACTCCAAGATTTTGGAAAGTGGACAAGGGCCACACTTTTCTGTGGAGGAAATGGAGGGTCTAGGATGGAGGCTGGGCACAGAAAGGCGCATGGGGTAAGGGACTGGGGTGCAGGAGACGGTGTGAGGTCTGAGAGGGAGTTTGGGTGAAGGAGGTAGTTGTGACCTAGGTCAGGGTATTGGAATGTAGGATCAGGGAGGGAGTATAGGTGCAAGAGAGGATTCTGGCCTGGGGAAGGGGCTCTCGGAGGGGAGATGGGATATGGGATGGAGGTTGGGTGCAGAAGGGAGCTTGGGGTAAAGGACTGGGGTGCAGGAGGGAGAATGGAGTCTGGGGGGGAGTTTGGGTGAAGGAGGAGGATATGACCTAGGGTAGGGGACTGGAGTGTGGGGGTTTGGGATGTGACCTAGGGTAGGAGGGGATTGTAATCTGGGGCAGGAAATTGGGGTGCCAGATCTGGGAGGAGGCATGGATGCAAGAGGGGGTCAGAGGGTTTGTGTATGTTGATGGGGGTGGTGGGGGCAGAGGGTTGGGGAAAGGTGGAGCTGGGGTGCCAGATGCAGGCTCTGGCCAGAAGACTTACCAGCCAGCAGCCATACCAGCGTGCTCGCCTGCAGAGCTTTAAATGTTTCCCAGCCAACCAGCCTGCCTGCCTGACCATGTGCTTGTATGAATAACCCAGCTGAGGAAAGGGGGTGTGGTTCTTCTTTGCTGCCTGTTATTCAAACAGGCAGCTCTCATTGGCCAGTTGCTGTCTAGAAATCAGCCAATGGGATTGTGCTGAGGCAGGGGCATCTCCTGAAGCTTTCCTCCCACCCCTCCAGTTTTGAAACAGAAATGGGGTCTGGATGCCTCTGCGTCTGCAGGCTGGATCTGGTAGCTTGGCAGGTTGGATCCAGGCTGTGGGCCATATTTTGCCCAGGCCAGGTTTAGACTATCAGTTCTTGGGTTGGTGACTGTCTCTCACTTTGTGCCCTTGCTGAGCCTGGTGCCATACGGCCCTTGTCTGAGGTTAGGCTTCTTGGTGTTCCTCTCATATAAATAATTAAAAGCAATAAGGAAGCACTGTTTGCACAGCCAGAAACAGAAGTGAGAAACAATCTCTGCCTCAACAATCTCACGCTCTACATAAATAAGACAAGCACAGGATTATATATCAGAAGGGGAAAGAGACTTTAGGGGGTATGTCTTCATTGTACAGATAACCTGGGCTCTTATTTGAGTGTTTCCCCTTTCCTGGCTCCCATCTACATATAAAATCCTTTGCCTTGGGTTTAGCAGAAACAGAAGTGAGAAACAATCTCTGCCTCAACAATCTCACGCTCTACATAAATAAGACAAGCACAGGATTATATATCAGAAGGGGAAAGAGACTTTAGGGGGTATGTCTTCATTGTACAGATAACCTGGGCTCTTATTTGAGTGTTTCCCCTTTCCTGGCTCCCATCTACATATAAAATCCTTTGCCTTGGGTTTAGTGGTGCTTTTGAACTCAGTCTAGCAGGCCTGTCTGATACAGGATAAGCCTGATTGGAGGCTTTCATTAACTTTGTGGTGGGGACACAGACTAAATCATTTAAGGGCTAGCTCCGCGGTCACTAACCTGTCGATCGTGAACGATTGGTCGATCCTAGGGGCTCGACCAGTCGATCACAAGGCTTTCATGGGCTTCCCCCCTCAGTCTCCTTTACCCCCAAGAAGAACCCTGCGCTGGCACTACCTCCAGCGACAATGGAGGTAGCGTGGGCTTCTTGCGGGGTGTGGGGGGGAGTTCTGCAGCTGCGTGCCAGGTCCAGGAAGTGGGAAGGCTGGTCTTCTTCCCTCCCCAAACAGCTGGTATGGTATCTGAAATGCTGTGTTTGTCACACGCCAGCGACTTTCTTTCCCCTGCTGCCTTCCTGCACGGTGGGGAGGAAGGGGAGTAGGAGTACCGGGACTGTGCTAGTTCCAACTGCTCAGGCAGTGCGTGCTGCCGTGGGGAGCATAGGAGCAGGGCGTGCGCTGCCTGAACAGTTGGAACTGGCGTAGTTCTGGGACTCCTACTCCCCACCCCCTGCGCAGGAAGGCAGCAGGGGGAAAGAAGTAATTGGCTTGCAACAGACCAGCGTTTCAGGTAACACACCAGCTGTTTGGGAGAGGGGGAAGCAGACCGCGCACTTCCTGGACCTGGCGTGCCCCCACCAGCACCGTGCCTTAGCACCCTGCGCCAGCACCCAGCCTTAGCACCCTGCCCTAGCCCCCACCAGCACCCTGCCCCAGCACCCTGCCTCCTGCCCCAGTCCCCACCAGTACCCTGCCCCCTGGCCAGACACCTACCAGCAACCTGCCCCCGGCCAGACTCCCTGCACCCTCCCCAAACCCCCACTGCCCCCTGGCCAGAGTCCCATGAGCACCTTGTCCCCTGGCCAGACCCCCATGAGCACCTTGCTCCTGCCCCCTCCCTTCTGGCCAGACACCTACCCCCAGCTTGCTCCTGTACCCTATTTCCCACCCAGATTCTGTATCCCCATCCCTATCCCACTCACTGGCAGCCCTGTCCTGCACACTGGAGCCCTCATTTTTGTAGCGGGGCCCACAAATGCCACTAACCCTGGTACTCAGGGGTATGTCTACACTGCCACCCTAGTTCGAACTAGGGTGGCTAATGTAGGCAATCGAAGTTGCAAATGAATCCTGGGATTTAAATATCCCGGGCTTCATTTGCATCTTGCCGGGCGCCGCCATTTTTAAATCCCCGTTAGTGCGGACTCCGTGTACACGCGGCACAAACTAGGTAGTTCGAACTAGGCATCCTAGTTCGAACTACCGTTACTCTACCTCCCACGAGGAGTAATGGTAGTTTGAATTAGGAAGCCTAGTCCGAACTACCTAGTTTGTGCCGCATGTAGCCGCGGGGCACGGAGTCTGAACTAGCGGACATTTAAAAATGGCGGCGCCCGGCAACATGCCAATGAAGCCTGAGAAATTCACCGTTATACCTCCCACGAGGAGTAATGGTAGTTTGAATTAGAGAGCCTAATTGGAACTACCTACTCCGTGTTGCATGTAGCCGCGGGCATGGAGTCCGCACTAATGGGGATTTAAAAATGGTGGCGCCCGGCAAGATGCAAATGAAGCCCGGGATATTTAAATCCCGGGCTTCATTTGCAACTTCGATTGCCAACATTAGCCACCCTAGTTCGAACTAGGTTGGCAGTGTAGACATACCCCAGAAGAGTTAATCTGGTCTGGGCTTGGAGTGCCAGAGGAGTGAGGTGTCTCAGTTGGGGCCACATAAGTGAAGCTTGGGGGGTTTTGGAGGGGTTGTTTTTTTTGCATCTTACTTGTGTGGCCCTGACTGACTTCTCTGTGGGTCAGTGACCCCTTACTCAAACCAGGTCCCCCGCCCCTCTCATAAATAAAGACAATGCTGAAACATTCTTTGATAGGATAATGAGTTTCTTTGATAGGATAACGAGTCTTGTGGAGACGCAGTGGATGTGGTATACCTAGACTTTAGTAAGGCATTTGATATGGTCTCGCATGATATTCTTATCAATAAACTAGGCAAATACAACTTAGATGGGGCTACTATAAGGTGGGTGCATAACTGGCTGGATAACCGTACTCAGAGAGTAGTTATTAATGGTTCACAATCCTGCTGGAAAGGTATAACAAGTGGGGTTCCACAGGGGTCTGTTTTGGGACCTGCTCTGTTCAATATCTTCATCAACGTGGATAAGGGGGAAGTGGTGCACGTAGTATACCGAGATTTTAGTAAGGCATTTGATATGGTCTTGTATGACCTTCTTATCAATAAACTAGGGAAACACATCCTAAATAGGGCTACCATAAAGTGGGTGCTTAACTGGCTGGATAAACATTCTCAGAAAGTAGTTTTTAGCAATTCACAATCATGCTAGAAGGGTATAACAAGTGGGGTTCCGCAGAGGTCTATTTTGGAACCAGTTCTGGTCAATATCTTAATCAACTGTTTGGATATTGGCATAGAGAGTATGATTATTAAGTTTGCAGATTATACCAAGCTGGGAGGGATTGCAAGTGCTTTGGCGGATAGGGTCAAAATTCAAAATGGTCTGGACAAACTAGAGACATGGTCTGAGGTACATAGGATGAAGTTTAATAAGGACAAATGCAAAATACTTCACTTAGAAAGGAACAATCAGTTTCACACATACCAGAATGGGAAGCGACTTTTATAAAGGAGTACGGCAGAAAGGGATCTAGGGGTTATAGTGGACCACAAGCTGAATATAAGTCAGCAGTGTGATGTTGTTGCAAAAAAAGCAAACATGATTCTAGGATGCATTAAGAGGTGTGTTGTGAGCAAGACACGAGAAGTCATTATTCCGCTCTACTGTGCGCTGGTTAGGCCTCAGTTGGAGTATTGTGTCCAGTTCTCGGCTCCACATTTCAAGAAAAATATGAAGAAATTGGAGAGGATCCAGAGAAGAGCAACAAGAATGATTAAAGGTCTAGAGAACATGACCTATGAAGGAAGGCTGAAAGAATTGGGTTTGTTTAGTTTAAAAAAGAGAAGACTGAGGAGGGACATGATAGCCGTTTTCAGGTATCTAAAAGGGTGTCATAAGGAGGAGGGAGAAAACTTATTCATCTTGGCCTCTGAGGATAGAACAAGAAGCAATGGGCTTAAACTGCAGCAAAGGAGGTTTAGGCTGGACATTAGGAAAAAGTTCCTAACTGTCAGAGTAGTCAAACACTGGAATAAATTGCCCAG